CACACACACACACTCGCGTGAAAACAAAGGCTTTGGTGATATAAGAGCCAAAAGATCGAGTTTAACATTTATATATATCAACCTTGTAATATATCAATTTTGTTATATATCAACTTGCTTTTTCTCATTTATGTTAATAATCTGCACAATGCCTCAAATTTGAAAACAGTAATGTTTGCTGATGATGCAAATCTTTTTCTATCCGGTAAAAATATCATTACACTATTTGATGATATCAACATAGAGCTAATTAAAATTTCAAATTGGTTTAAGTCAAATAAACTATCACTTAACTTAGAAAAAACTAAATAGACTTTATTTCATCCAAAATCCCAAAAAAAAAACTTTACCAAATGATATACCTCAAATATATGTTGACAATGTTCAAATAAAAAAATCAATAGTTATACATTTCCTTGGCGTTTTCATTAATAAAAATCTAACATGAAAAAACCATATCAAAACTTTGCGCAATAAAGTTTCAAAAAATATTGGAGTAATGTATAAAGCGAGAAATTTTGTTAATATACATTCATTAATTCAACTTTATTACTAATAACCCAATGCCATATAAAGTATGCAAACATCGTATGGGGTAGTGCTAAAAAAATTCAATTAGATCCTCTATATTGGCATTGAAGCATATAGCACGTCTAATAAACTTTAAAGATCATTATACTCATGCCAGACCTCTTATTATAAATGAATGTTCTTAATATATACCAGCAAAATGTTTTTAATATTCTTTTATTTAGGTACAAATGTAAGATGAACCTAACCCATATATCCTTTCAAAATTTATATGTAATAAAGCAAAAAACAAATATGGCTTAAGAAATAACAATCTTATTCATCAGCATTATTGACATACAAGTTTTAGAAGATCTCTTTTAACATATTGTTAAGCTCTTCTGTGGATCAAAATAGTTGTGAAAAATTCTAATTTTTCTCAAAGTTCGAATTTTCTTACTTTCAAAATTAAGCTGAAAAAATTTATCTTGTCAATTGATAATATCTTTGAGATCTTTTGAGTTTATACCTTTCAAAAAAGTGTGTGATTCCTGAATGTATTGTTTTATTTTGAATTATTTAGTTTTATATATATTCTTTATGTTGTTAAACGTTATTTTATGTTTTGAAATATCTGGTTAGATTTAAGTTTTCTTTCTAAACGTCAATTATAATTATTATTTGTTTGGTTATATTTTTACTGCATTGTTAAACGGTTCTCAATGACAGGATCTTACAATCCTCCTTGAGTCTCCGTGTTCTGATATTTAATGTACAACGATATTTATACCATAATATATTGTAATAAGAAAAAAAAAAAAAACCTTGTTATGCGGTATGCATAAAATGCTCAAGCAACGCAAAAGAAAACATTATACTAGATTTCTAATGAAGCCAAGATCATTACTTTCTACCATTTTAAATAAATGTTAGGTATAGTCAGACCTATCATGGCCCGATAAATGTTTATCATTCATAACCGGACTCGGAAACCAGTTACTTTAATGGAACACATGTAACGGTGGAAACCTCAGGGAAAACCGTGTGACAAGATGGTTAGGTTTTCCTGGGCACCTAAATAACAACAACAAAAAGAAGGAATCAGGATTATATTAGAGTCATGGTTAGTTAAAAATTACTCAAAACATTTTTGGACAGATGTCCAGTATAAAAGTAAAAAGTTCACGAGCAAAACTTAATAATAATTACTAATTATTTACGTATATTTACTCAATTAGCGTACTGATCTCTACATTAAGAAGCGCTAACAAATGATCAACAAAATAAATATTTAAAAAAAAATGTGGTTTAAATGACAAATATATATGTGTGTGTGTGTGTGTATATATCTTTCTTAGGAAACAATTTAAATGAAGTAAGAATTGAGTTAGGAATGATAATAAATAAAGACGATATAAGAATTTTCATGATAAAATGTATGGATGAGGACTGCAGGATAAACAGGCAACAAAATATAAAAAAGTTCTTGGACAACGGCTTATAATGGTAATATTATTGTACGACAGATACTCTCGACAAGAAATACAAGGTTTAAATAATAAGGATTTATTATAGAAAAACAATAAATCTAAAATACTTCAGCTAATGTATTTGTAAAAAATAATAATAAATTCACAAATATAATAATCCTTAATATATTAGTGAATGCTTTCACATTTAGTACAAGCTGCGTTACCATCTTATCGCCTACGTTTCTCGATCGTGTTGTTAAGCAGCCTTAATTTGTAAGAGAAATTTAACAATTTATTGTCTGGAGTAGGTGTAATCCTGGTTTGTGTTACCCTTTAGATATTTAATAAGTTCAATCACTGTTTTTTTGTTAAAACGTCAATCTTTATGCGTGTGAATTTTTCTTCTTTGCTCTTTACTCGTATCTTTTATTATCATCGTTTTTGTGATAGGAGAAGTGGAGTTGCCTTGATGTAAATGGTAATGGAGATTTCTGTTATAGTAGTACTTCTGTAGGAGTACTAGTTGTAGTTATTGAAAAATCGATGTCGTTGTCAGATTGTCTGTTTTCTTTAATAATACATTCAATTGAGCCCTGTGGTGATTTCTTGGTGTTTTCGTTATGCATCGGTCTAGTTTTGTTGAAACGGTAATCCTTAACATCCTCATCATCGCTTACAGTTAAATCTATTTGGATAACTTTATTTTTTGAAAATTCTGGAAATAAAAATTATTATAATAAAGAGGCCACTTGTAAAGAATAAAAAAGGAGGAGGTTTATTAACAATTTAAATAAAACAAAGGTTATAGCTCCTTGCAGGTCCACTTACTGATATAGAGACATGAGAACAATATGGATTAAAAAGTGTTGATTAATTAGTGTAAAGAACTGGTATCGATTAGCTACAATAGGGATAGGTACAGAAAAATATCATACACCAACTGACAAGTGTGCATGCGTGTAAGAGACATATACGTAAATCAATTTTTAAAAAAATATCTAGGATTAAGAGCATAAAAAAAAAGATACCTAAAAATGTTTATAACTCATGACCGGACTCAAAAACCAGTTACTTTAATGGAACACATGCAGCCGTGGACGCCTCAGTGAAGAAAGAACAAGAATTATATTAGAGTAAGAGTTAGCTAAAAAGGTTATTGAAAAATGTTAGGACAAATGTCCAGTATAAAAGCAAAAAATTAAACTAACTCTTAAAATTACTCATTTTCATTGTTTATGTATATATCTTTATTAGGATGCTGGATTCATAAAGAGAAGAGAGTAAGACTAAAAATGCTAACGCCAAGTAATAATAAGTATTAGGAATCGGGTACTAACCAATAGAAGGTACCTAAAAATATATAACAAATGATAAAGGGAAATAAGAGTTGTGTGAGTGGCATGCTGTATTGAAGGTGAACAAATATGTCATGTGTGTAAATCTAACATAGAAATAATATAGGAAGATGTCAATTACAACAGTATTGTGCTTAATCCAGATGAAAAATTTATTATAAGAGAATCAAAGTAAATGGCATCAAAACCGATATAAAAGCGCAAAGATAAAAAAATTAAAAACAGAAAAAATATGTGCAGTGGTGGAATACGAACCCGTAACAACAACAGAAAATAACAAACCAGACCTAGAAAAAGATAAAGTCTTATGATGCGGATCCATCATAAGACTTTATCTTTTTCATTAGAGTGAAAATATATTGACTTACTAAAAATCAAGGACAGGCGCAGTAGAGTGTATTTAAATCGACTAGTATTCAATAGGGAGGCGCATTGGAGTGTTCATATATACCGACTGAATAAAATAGGGACATGCACAGTGGAGTGTACATGCAAGTGCAGGTTTTAAGGTTTGGGCAGGTAGTCCAAAAGGATAGTTTAACATTCTATTAAAAAGCCTATTACACTCTGCTTAAATTTAAGAACACGAACAGCCTTATTATGAAAATTAATTCTTTTTTATATTAAAAAAACATTAATATGTGATGGGGATACACGCTTGAACAAAAAATAGAAAACAACAATGGAATCGGGTATTATTTATAAAAAGGGCTGAAAAATGCTCAAATATGGGGGATAAAAAATGCACAAATAAAGAAGGTCATTTGGAGAATGTGTTTACGAAATGGGAAAATTGATGCTCCAAAAGATATGTGTAGGGTAGAGTGGGGAGAAGTGGAACACGTAAATTTTTTTTGAGGGTAGTTACAAATTATTTTTTTTTTCATTTGACGTATAAATTGAAACAAACAAGTTTTTACGAAGAAACCATCTCTTTAGACACCAATTTATTTCATTTATAAAAATAATTTCTCAAAATGTTTTTCTAACATCAAGGGAAAAGTGAAAAAAACTTATTTTGCTATTGAGACAGGCTATGAGAAAAATATATGACTTTTGTATTAATAGCTGCTAAATTCATAAAGTACTAATTTGATAGCAAACCTCATAAGATGCAATATTACGAAATGCAATACTTAAATGCAGTATTACAAAAGTAATCATTAATATATGTCTGTTACGTACAAAGTTTAGTTGGAAAATTATCAATAAAGTAATAAAGACCCAAAAAAAAAATTTAATTCATTTAAAAAAATATTTTTAATTGAAAATCTCTAAAAAAAGAAGAGTGTAAACACATTTTTATTACCAGATTTTATTTTTGTTACATTATAAGAATGCCAATACGGTTACTTTTCAAGTACAATACGTGCATTCAATTTTTTTTTTTTTATGCATAAATATCAAAAAACATAAAGAGAAGATGGGGAGGGGAAGAGTTCAAGCTTAAGCTAGATTGTTTAGACGATCGGGTATAAATCAGCCAATTATAGGAACAAAATTGTAATAATAATAATATTTAGGTGAATTTTTTTTTAATTTAAATTAATCTAAGTATTACAGATTACTTGTTTTATGTTTTAAAAACAATTTATTTATACAAATTATTCGTAAATTAAAAAAACTTTAAAGTTAGTTTAAGTTTGCTTCTTTTAGGCGATCTTCAGTATGAACGAGATGGACATTCATCGTACTCTCCAAGACAATGTCCGAGCCCCTTATAGCCGGTCTTAGCACAAAATGTTAATCCGTATGGGCATGGCATACATATAGGACTTTTGTTTACACAAGCTATATAACCAGCTCTGGGCTTGTTATCAATAGCGTAGTTGCCATCAGCGCGATTTTTACATTGCTTTGTGACATCAATATCTAAATGATTAATAAGATATAAAAATATCTAAATAAAAACGTAAAAGAATATAAAGACTAAACAAAAATATATACAAATCTGAAAAAAAATTAATAAAAACTGAAGAAAAACATATAAAAATCTGAAAAATCAATAAAAAGTTATAGATAGATGTTAGCTTAATTTTATAATCAAAGTAGAATTTGTTTGTAACAAATATATGCTTTACGTCTATTAATAGGTTTGTTGTATGTAACTTACCTAAGCAAACAACCTTCTTGGGTTTGTATCCACTCTTAGGTTGATACTTATTGCTAGATTTATATTGATTCTCATAGTCAGTCTTTGATGGTTTCTTATTGTTGTTGTATTCACTTGTAGGTTGGTACTCATTATTTGACTCGTATTGATTCTTGTATTCTTCTTTAGGCGGATTTATGTTCAAATCGTATTGATCTTCAGATTCTATGAACTCATCAGCAGCGGCCAAAATGATAACGGAAGAAATAAAAATAATTTTCATAAACATGTTTACTTAATTCTTAGTGCTTCAAAATATCCCAAATATAACGTTAGTTCATCCAAGTTTTTTCAAATTATTATTACAACTTCAAGTATTTATACATTTTTAAGTCTTAAAATCGATTCCCAAGTGACACATTTTTAAATAATTGTAAAAGTAATAGAAAAATATCTAAATAGCTAATTATACAAGTGAATAAAAAGGGTTTTATTGATTGGTAATAAAAACTTTAAATGCTATTAAAATTTAAACAACAATTAAATACTACTTAAAGTTAATGCTTTGACATTTGAATTCTTATAACATATTAACATATGACAAATAAAATTTACGACACATTGTCATAAATATATACATAAATATGACACATTGTCATAAATATATTCGGTTTATATATTTTACGTTCTAAAGACAAATTAGTTTAAATTACAACATTTTATCAGTTTTATTTTTGTTTATAAATTTTTTGACTTAACTAATGTCCAATTAAGTTTCTAAATACTATACTATAGAGATTTCAAATATTCAAAGTTAAAATTAAAAATTGTTTGGTATTTAATTGTTAATCCCAATAAGACAATACACGGTGCTTAGGAATATGCTCTGAGACCTTGCAACACATCCCCATAATTTTTTTTTTTTTTTTTTTGATTATCAGAAGAATCTTCGTTATTTCAAAAATGTAGAAAAAAAAACTTTTTCACCGGGGCCTAGGGAGAAATCACGTATTTTAGGCAAGTGGCAAGTAACTTTGTTGTTCAAGATAGGTTACTAAAAGTGCCGGATCAAGGGGGGGGGCTATGAGGGACTATAGCCCCGGGCCCCGCAAATTTAGGGGCCCTCAAAAATTTTAGAGTACCTTTTTTTTTTTAAGTCATTTTTAGGCTCTGACCCATAAAAAAGCCTCCAAAAACAAAAATAGCCTCGGGCCCCGAGAAGTCTTAATCCGCCACTGGTTACTAAGACCTATGTGGCATACTCAAATTTTTAGTATGTTTATAATGGTATCAAATGAGGATGAATTACAAAAAGTTGAGGTAATTGGAGCTAACCCAACCCCGTCCCGACCCCGAATCGCCCCCTTCATAGAACTACGTCTCCTAAGCTAATAAAAATTTATCATAAATTAGACCTAAATTTATCGACAGATTTCAAGTGTCATCAAAAATATCTTTTCGTTTATGATTTATGACCATAAGAAGTTCAGAATTCCACAAATTTACCCCCTGAAATAACTTTGAATGGTCGTAACTTTAAAACTAGATTTTTTTTTTTGATAAAATTTAAAATCTGTCGATGAATTTTGATTTAGTTTAATATAACACAAAAAAAAATCAAAAAATTTTATTATTGAACCATACATTAGGGGTGGGGTAATAGGGTTCCAATAGGATTAACTGCAACGACTTTATGGCCGTAAAAAAAATTTCTGGTCAATTTGGTTAATTTATTATTTATATTTTGCATGTCATATATAATCATATCATATATTAAGAAATTATGTTAAAAAATTATTCATAAGAGGTTAATTTTATACTTTTTACGAGCTACCTGCAAGTTGAAAGCTACTTTAAAAGTGTTTGTAGTTGTAAACAACAACTGCGTTTTTTAGCGCTTCAATATAGTTTGGGCTGTGTTCTCTAACTTTTCTCCTTTGCTTAAACTGATTGAAGTCCTGGTGAATGGTTTCCAGAGCTTGTTTGGTCCAGTAACCTAAGCCGGCAGAATATAAATTGCACAAAATAAGTTTTAGTCTATTTAACGAATAACGGTCATAGTTTATACGACTTTAAACTTGCATAAACTGTTGTATTATTGTAATATTAAGTATTTAATTACTTTTATTATAATTAAATGATACAAATTTAATCTTTTGTAAAACTTAAAACTTATTTATCATACCGAAAGCTGCATCTTTCATATTGACGAGTTTGATAATATGTTGCTCAACCATGTGTACTTTCAAAGGAATTGTAGCCCATAGATTTCTATAGTTCGTAGACAGCTGCTCTATATCTTTAATATAAGTTGAGCTTAATGATTTTCCAAAACTACCATGGACTACTTTTTCAAAATCTCTAAGTACATTAATGTATTTGGATAAGGGATCTCCAAGACTGGACTCTACCGTTATTGAAAGGAAAGAAAAGATTTATTTCTGTATTAAATTTTTACAAATAATTAAATAATGTTAAACAGTGTGCAAGGGGCGGTCAAAAAGATAAGGGAGGGGAGGTGGTTTCGGGTTAACTACCACCTTTCCCGACCTAAGAAATGTCAAACTTCAAAATATTATTAATAAAATTAAAAAAATAAGAAAAAATACAAAAAACTTATATACCCATTCAATATATTTATTATTACTGACTATCTTATAACCTTTCTAAAATCATTCTAAATATCAAATAAAACAATTGTTTTATTTTGAAAAAACGCGAATCTCATTTTTTATATATTTTTTGGTCCGAATACCCCCTAGAACAATGGCCTGGATCACCCCCTGCAATGTGTAGTTTTCCATATCGTTATTCCTACTCTATCGAATTTTTACTCCATTCAAGCGAAAATTTTCTGTGCGGAATTAATCTCTTAGGGAATAGTTTTGCAACTATTAAAGAGTGTTTTTCATATAATTTTCCAAAGAAAATTGCTTGAGATGCAATCGTTAATGATTATTCTAAACGAGTATTAGAAATGGTTGTTGAAAGTTTTGTAACTATCATTAAAGTGAGCTTTTCATATAATTCTCCAAAAGGAATTGGTTGTGATGCAATCTTTAATTATTTTTCTAAACGAGTTTTAGAAATGATTGTTCAAAAGAATTGATTTCGTAACAGTCGTCACAGTTATTTTAGTTAAATTAATTGTGTGATATCGCATTCATATTTTAATTTCTTTTCTGGTATCGTTACTTTATTAAATCTCTCGTAGTATCGTAATTCTCTGGTCTTTGTTCTGTGTTTAACATTCAACAATTAAATTTCTTAATATATGATATGATATATGACATGCAAAATATAAATAATAAATTAACCAAATAGACCAGAAATTTTTTTTACGGCCATAAAGTAGTTGGCAATTATCCCACCCCTATTATCCCACCCCTAGTGTATGGTTCAACCATAGAATTTTTCAATTTTTTTTTTTTTTTTTTGTGTTATATTAAACTAAATCAAAACTCATCGACAGATTTTAAATTTCATCAGAAAACAATATCTAGTTTTAAAGTTACAACCATTCAAAGTTATTTCAGGGGGTAAATTTGTGGAATTCTGAACTTCTTATGGTCATAAATCATAAACGAAAAGATATTTTTTGATGAAACTTGAAATCTGTAGATAAACTTTAGTCTAATTTATGATAAATTTTTGTTAGCTTAGGAGACGTAGTTCTATGAAGGGGCGATTCGGGGTCGGGACGGGGTTGGGTTAGCTCCAATTACCTCAACTTTTTGTAATTTATTCTCATTTGATACCATTATTAACATACTAAAAATTTGAGTATGCCACATAGGTCTTAGTAACCTATCTTGAACAACAAAATTACTAGGCACTTGCCTAAAATACGTGATTTCTCCCTGGCCCCCGGTGAAAAAAGTTGTTTTTTACATTTTTGAAATAAGGAAGAGTCTTCTGATAATAAACAAACAAAAAAAAAAAATTGGGGATGTCTTGCAAGGTCTCAAAGCATCTTCCTGAGCACCGTGAATACATTTCTAAGTGACCTCTAAATTGAACTTGAAATCTTTGATTAAATAAAATTATAGTTAATGTTAAATATCATTTAACTATAAAATGGAGCAAGTAGGTCCTTTTTTTTTAAAATCAGAGAACAAACTTATATAAAAAGTTGTTAATACAGGAATTAACAAGTAGCATAAACTAGGAAGTCGCAAACTTATTTAAGTACGAACAAGTTGCTTAAACGTGCCAATCAACAAATTAAAGTATACGAAAAGTTTTTGATATACTTTATTAAATAACAATATTATGAGCAAATATGTATCACAACTTAAATTTATAAATAGATAAATGTAAGTTCGCTCTAAGTGACTCTTGTTTTCACAGTCGATATGAAAACGAGATTTCACGCATATTAAATTTATTAACAAAGTTATATATTTATTTCAATAGTTAAATAATTTTAAATAATTATTTTGATTAATAATTATAGAAATTATAGAACAGTTTTTGAAAAATAATTTATTTGCGAGTTTGCACTTTCATTAGTTTTTGTAAATTTATTTAAAAATTTTGTCGTGACTTAGCACTCCTTAAATTTTGAAATAAAATAAATATTTTAACTGAAAATTTAATCTATTTTATTTGAACTTTTACAAACTTTTATTCTAATTTCAAAAATTATTCAATTTATCCTTGAAAAATGAAAATGAAATGTAGGTACCTAAAAAAAAAAGTTCTTCATATCCTCGTATATAATATAGGGAAAATTTGATAAATAAGGGCGCCAATCAGGATTGCTGTCTCATGCTCGTGACAGCTCTCGGCGGCCCTGTCAACGGAAAGGAAGTTTATCATATAAAGTTCCACGATCGACTCTCAAACCATGATCTCTGGATAGTCCAAAATAGGAACATAACCAGGAAAAAAACCAATGCTCAGTGACCTTGAAGAAAAACTAGTTGATTATGCTGGCAATCGTGCCCAAATGGGAATTGGTTTCGGGAAAAAAGCATTTATCATTTATGCTGCTAAGCTTGCTAAAAAAGATAACATAAGTTTTCAAAGTGGTCAACCTAGTGAAAAGTGGTGGCAGCTACTTAAGAAGAGAAATGGCTGAGTGAGTCTTCGTCGACCAGAAGCTTCTATACGACACATGTGTATGGATAAGGTTAAAGTTTCAAAATATTTTACTTCTTTAGAAGTTCTAATACAAAACAAGAATTTACTGGACAAACCAGAATGTATGTGGAACATGGACGAAACAGAGATGCAACTAGAGAATAAACAAAATCGTGTTGTTGCTAGGAAAGGCTCAAAATACATAGAGTCGAACAAGTGGCAACAAAGAGACAATTACTGGTATATGTTACATAAATGCAGCTGGTCTAGTCATGCCACCTCATATAATAGGGAAAGGAAAAACTGTACGTACCTTTTATGGTTTTGATACAGAAAATGCCTTAAGTGGAGCAACATGGAGTGTATCTAAAAATGGCTGGACAAAACAAGGTATTGCAAAATTATGGTCTGAGAAAACATTTCTTCCAAATATTGGCTCAGCAAGACCACAGATTTTAATCCTAGATGGGCATGACTCACACAATTTTGTTGAAATGATTGAGCTGGCTATTGTAAATCAAATTGAAATTGTTGAGCTTCAAGCTCACACCAGCAACTGGTTGCAGCCTTGTGACAGAACAATTTTTAAGTCACTGAAAACTGCTTATTCTGAAGTCTGCCAAACAATGATGAACGACTACCCAGTTGCAGTAGTGTCGCATTCTAACTTTTGTGGTTTATTTTCAAAAGCGTGGAAACATACTATGACTAATGCAAATTTCACTTCCAGGATTTCGAATTTGTAGAGTTTATCCGTTTAATCCGGAGGATATTCCTAATGAGTCATAAATTCTAAATATTTTGTATAGTCGTTTTTCAGATACTACCCCAGTTCAAAATGTATGTTACTAATGAATTGTAAACAACCTTCCATTATTACCTGATCTATCAGAGAATAGCTATACAATCAACTCATTATCTTTAACCAAACCAGTAGAAGAAAATAGGTTTAATGATTTTTACATTCAAGGCAATACTGTGAAATATTCAAATATTTTTACAGAACACAGCTATGCAAAAATGAAACCAGTACAAGACAATCAGTTTGATGATTTTTCTGTTCGAGACAATATTGTTTTAAATATTGATGCAGAAACAAGCCTTGAAGAAGTAATTGAATCAACATTTAATTCAAGTGATGAAAAAGTAGTTTTTTGCAAAAATTAACAGATTTTCAATTTCCATTTAATAATTCATCTTGTCCATTAGAAACAGATTCAGACGTTCTTGCATATCTTTCTCCACAAACTAAACATAACAAAAAAAAAAATCAAAAAACTCTAATTTAAAGATTTTTGTTCTGACCTCAGAGGAGGCTTATAATGCAAAGCTTGAGGATAGGGCTGCAAAATTAGTTAGTGAAAAAAGAAAATTAAAAAACAAAAGATTTTGAAAGCAAACTTAATTCACTTTAATGATTGTATAATTAATCTAATGTAACAAGTTATCTTGTAATTACAAAAATTTTTACTTAAATCATATATCAATTTTTAATTCTCTAAAAATTGATATATGATATGTAACATGTACTTAAGTATTTTTCTGAAACGGGCGTTTCATGTAAAAGTGTGGCCAGTAAATGGTGTAATTACCCTAGACAAATATTAGTACGTTATAGTGCGATATTTTTTTTTTAAGATAAAACGATTTAAGACATCTTTTAAAACATTTGAGGCATCTTTTGCAACTTGAAGTTGAAGATAATCCAGATATAGGTATATAGATATCCTATGTATTGTGTTGACTAAATCTTTTATTTTAGGTACACAATCAAATAAAACAAAACGCAATCAAATAAACATATCAACGAGTTTTTTATTCATAGTTTTCTAAAACTCTAAATTGATAAATTAAAATTATAAAATAAAACCCAAACCTTATAAAAAAAAAAAAAAAAAAAAAAAAAAAAAAAAAAAACTCTTGTAATAAAAAATTAGTCTAAACAACAGACTCTGTGCACAGACATTTTTTTTTTTATTTCTGTAAAGATAAACTTGAGATTTATTCTTATTTTTTACGCATTTCGACGCTTTCGGCCTGTTTTATTTGTGTCCACGTTTTTCACTTGATAATTTATAAAAGATTGTTCAAATATAAAAGCTAATTTAAATTGATATTTCTCATCAAAGTTTTGTTCCGCTTAACGTATAATAAATTAAATCATTTAAAAATTTAAGTTATATTAAAAAAGTTTAAAACATAAATTTACTGTTAAAAAATATATATTTATAAATTATTCAAATAATTTTGATTAACGATTTAATTTCTAATAAAATTTTGTTTAAAGTTTGTTAACGCGAAAAATTTTTACGCAAGAAAAAAAAGTTATAAAAGTTTTTTTTTTCGGTGCCAAAAATGTAACGATAATATACATAAAAATACTAAATATGCATAAAAAGTCTATGAATGGAAAATATTAAAACACGTATACCTTTGGAACTAAATAAGCTACAGAAGTTGTTCAATTTTTTTTGAAAATGAAATATATTAAGGAATCCAATGCATTTAAAATAAAAATATTTACATTCGCTAACTAAGTAGCCTAAAATCCCTATAGTTAGTGATTTTTCCTAAATTTATTTTCTGAAAGCTTCTTCAATAATTTCTTAATTTTTATTACATATAAATATATTTTAACATTGCATTAATAATAAATGTGTAAATATTATTAAAAAAAAAACGATATTTTCAAAATTATATTTGTTTACTTGTTATCAGACATTTTAATACCATGGTTTTATGTAAAAATTTAAAGCGGTGCTCGATGATAAGACCTTTTGGTTTTCTGTTTTTCGCGTTCTTTTTACAGTGTTCGAGTAAATTTATTATTTTTGTAAAATCACTTTGTAATATTTTGTTTTTATTTATAAATTCACTTAAAACGAAACTTTACTATGTAATTACGAATTTGTAATATTAAGAAATAAAAAATAAACTTGCAATAAAAAAATGAATAAAATAAAATAAGAAATTAAAAAAGAAAATTTTTTGATCGAAAAATATTAGCGGACAATATCTGATATTGTTTAGTAAAAAGTATATTAAAATAATATGAGCATATATTTGGTATATAAATATGTTAAACGATGTCCTTTACAAAATTTCAGAAATTTAGAAACACTATGCATTAGGGATCGTCCACAAATTCTGCAACGCAAAATATATTTAAAAACTTGAAGTAGGAGATATAAAGCTCTTTGACGCGGCAATTTTCATTAAACTTGTTGGGTAAATTTAATTTTTTATTTAAGTTAAGACTCTGCAAAGGAAAACCTTTGATTTTTTCTATTTTACTTATTGTGAAAGTTTGCTTTACGTAATTTTAAAAAAAAAATTAAAAAAAAAAAAAGGTCCTCGTTTTTTAAAATTTACCGACTGCCATAACGACATTTGCCGACTGACTTTACTGACTAACCTATCGACAGGGTCTACATTTGCCGACTAACTAGTCAAAAAGGGTCACATTTGCCGACTAAGGGTAAAATTTGCCGACTAAAAATCATTGATGGGGGGTTGTTACATCCCCCACACCCCCCTACCGCTCCGGCCTTGCTTGTAAATTTTATGAAATATTAACGTGATGTTTTAAAACGTAACAAAGAACAAAAAAAAAAAAAGCAATTTCTATAACTTTTAATTATTTTTTTTTAATGAATTTATTATGATTATTTTAAACTTATATGAATTTATCTTAAACAAAAAAACATTTTTATTTTCGAAAAAAAAATTTTGATTTTCTTTTCTAAAATAAAACTCACTTTTTTTGGAATTCATTTAAAAATTCGAAAAACTGTGAATACTGAGAAACCCTGCTAGGTATAAAATTATTTTTTTAGTCAAGTCAAATTCAATTAAAAACTTGTTAAAACTGCTTTTTTTCTAAAATTTATAGATTTAAAACATATTTTTAAATTAATTTACATATTATCTTCATATATAATATGTAATATATAATATGTAATATATATATTAGTCTAGTTAAAAATAGTACAAAAAATATTATATATATACATATATATATATATATATATATATATATATATATATATATATATATATATATATATATATATATATATATATATATATATATATATATATATATATATATATATATATATATATATATATATATATATATATATATATATATATATATATATATATATATATATATATATATGTATATATATATATATATATATATATATATATATATATATATATATATATATATATATATATAAACTATTGAGTTAATTATTTAAATGTTCATTGTCTTACACTTGAGAGATTTTCAGTAGAATTATTTACAGTGAGAATATTAAATTGATTGTATAGCTTTTTAAGTCTCTTTTTGGATTTTTTTTTTTTTTTATGTTTAACGATGTAGAACATCATAATTGTTCAGAAAATCAATCGTGCGTGACAAATAAATATATTCAAATTGACAAAAAGTTATCAGTTGTGCAATTTTTGAACGTGTAAAAATATATTCGAGATTTAAAATTCGACACACAAAAAGATATTCGAGATTTCGAAAAATGTCTTCAGTAAAAATGAATTGTGTTTTTGGTATCGTTGTTATCATTTTAACTACGACAGAGTTGTTGTGTAGTTTTTTACCGTATTACTCCTGCGGAGTTTCGCAGATTAATGGCAACTTTAAAGTAAATAGATCTTCAAAAACGTTTAAATTAACTTAAAATATGCTTTAATTTTTTATAAATATTATCAAATTCAATTTTTTAATTATTGGGTATTAAAATAAAAAGCAATATGAGTTATAATATTTAAAATCAATGTTTTATAATTTTAAATTTAATTCTCAAAATTATAAATTTCTTCATATTTAAAATCAATGTAAAAGCAAAAAGTTTTCAATAGTAAGGTAAGAATTATTTTTTCACATTCTTCTGTTTCAGGCTAAAGTGTGCACGGGATTACTTGGAAACAACATTAACATAAAAATAAGCGATAAAGAAAAGTTGAGCTCAAACTTAAACTATATCAATGATAAAGGTAATAATTTAAAGGTACTAATATTTCTTGCACACTCAATGACTTTCACACTTCAATACGCGTATTAAGTAGCATACATTCGGGTGCCGGTAACGGGAAATTTCCCATACTGGCAGGTCGGGCTCCGGAACAACATGTTTAAAAAAACTAAAAATAATGACAAGCATAACGTTTATAACTATATGTAATGATTATATATTTTTTTTGCATCTATAATATCACATTAGCATGTGGTATTAGTATAACATACTACTCTAATTTAAACTAAAATATTTTCAAGTATATAAATATATTCCAAACAACATTTTTTTTTATAATATTGCTGTTTTTAAAAATACTTTTGCAAAGATCACACAAAACTTGAAATTAGTTAGTCAGAATTCTTTTGGGAAAACTAATTTTGCAATGTTTTTTCCGTCGAAAATTTTCTCTTTATTTTTTAAATGAATTGGATTACGTAATACTTTTGTATATGTAATAACTAATATATCTACTAATATATAACTGACGCCTAACTTGTTTCTAGGAGCACTCTCAAAATCTAAAGGTAACAAGCATATGTTAAGACAAATGTAAACATATATATATATATATATATATATATATATATATATATATATATATATATATATATATATATATATATATATATATATATATATATATATATATATATATATATATATAAGCTGACCTATTTTAGGCAACGTCCTAATTCTGGCTGATTTTCAAAAGCACTGTAATCTTTTATGAAGAGTGGGGTTGCTCTGGTATAAAATTAATATATATATATATATATATATATATATATATATATATATATATATATATATATATATATATATATATATATATATATATATATATATATATAATATTTATATCAGCTTAGTTATTTTTAAAATATTCAGCTTAAAATAAAAGAAGACTTTCCAATGCTTCGAAAACATACTTGAAATATTTGATAAATATTTTGTCTCCGTAAACTTAATGTTTGTTATTTTCAAATTTTTTATGATTAAATTTGTAAATCGCTCGAATTGCAAGTTGTATTGGAAAATAATATTGTTAAAACAGGAAAAGAAATTATTTTATGCGTTTATGTGTATTTTTTTAAATTGATCAATAATGATTTTAGTTTGTGAATTTCTTTATACAATCAGAATTAATTTTAAATGACTAGAAAGAGGTCTTTTAACTAGCAACTAAAAAATTGACGCTAAATTAGGCTATTTAGGCTATTTTTATAGCCAACATAAATTTTGTTTATTTCATATAAATTGCATTCCTTAAGATCAGTGGCGGATTTAGTATAGGGCGTGGGGGGGGGGGGAAGCTGCCCCCCCCCCACGCCCCCCTAGAAAGGTCTAACGGCGCCCCCTAAAACAATCAAAATATATATATATATATATATATATATATATATATATATATATATATATATATATATATATATATATATATATATATATATATATATATATATATATATATATATATATATATATATATATATATATATATATATATATAAGATCAAATTACTGAAGGCAACCCCGGTCGCCCCTATTTATTGACTTGGCCCCCCCGCGACACTAAACCTCAATCCGCCACTGCTTAAGATATTTCATTTTCATAACAGTTTCAACCACATCTTTAGCTTATTTAGTTCCAAAGATATAGATATTTTAATATTTTCAATACTCGGACTTTTGAAGAAATATTTTCCTAAAGTATCGCGTTATTTTTTTGGGACCGAAAGTTAACAAAATTTTTTTTTTTTTGTGATTAAAATTTATCTGCAAAAACATATTTTTTTCTAAAATTCATTCAGAAATAAGATTATGAATCTATATTATTTTAACAATTTATTAATATAATTTTTTTCGGTGTTTTGCAAACACGGACCATTAACTGATCAGTTAACAGTAAAATATGTTTTTAAAATTTTCGAAAATTTCAAACAATGAAACATTTAATGTTTCAATATTTAAAAAGTTATTTGAAACAAAAATTATTCAAAAAAACTAAATTGAACTAATTTTTATTTAAACTTTTTTCAATGCATTATTAAGTGAAAAAACTCAGATCCAAACATCAAAATACCTAAAGATAATTATCTAAAATTATCTAAAATTTATTTTAACATAAAAAAAAAAGTTGTTGGCAACAGAAAGTTTTCATATATATATATATATATATATATATATATATATATATATATATATATATATATATATATATATATATATATATATATATATATATATATATATATATATATATATATATAAATTGTTAAAAATTTAATAAGGAATGTTTTTTTTTGTCGCTTTTTAATTTGTTTAGTCTTGTATCCTGATTTTTTACCATCAATTCTTTTTTTGTATTTGTTTTTAACAGCTATATAACGTAATACCCAAGGTTTACAATTATTACTCAAATTAAATTTGCTCAAATGACAGTAGTATGAATAACTTTGTTTTAAAAAAATTTTTATTTACATTCCATACCGGAGATGAAAAAATAAAAATTAAGTTGAGCAAGAATTGCTTATATTACAAACTTTTCTGCAGCTTTTTCCAATTAAATCCATGCTTTTATATTTAAACTTATTACGTTATTACAAGCTTTATTTTTTTTGGTATAGTTAAACTTTTTCTCTATTTTTTTCTTTATACTTTGCTATAAAACACATAGCTTTATTCTTTTTGAGAACTTCTTTCGTTTAACCATTTATTTTTATTTTTATCATTGGTTCTTGAACAATAAAGTAATTCTTTTCTTACTTCATCATTTTTGCTATTTAGCCATTCTAATGTTTGGTTCTGAGACCACATTGTCAAAGCCTAGAAAGTTTGAATATTTGCATTTGGATTTATGCGTAACATTAAATTCCAATGCCAACTTGCTATTTTTGGGTTGCTTCTTTAACTTTCTGATGTTATCAACTAGTTGAGTTGTCTTTATGGCTAATGATTTTTTTACAACAGAGTAGTTGAACATTACACAAAACATAGAATATACAGCATTGTATGAGGTATTTTTCAATGTTAAATACCAATAATAAATTTCTTTACAAAGCATTTTATCTAAACAAATATACGATATTTTTAAAGTAAAGTAAAAATAAATATTTAAACTTAAAACAGTTAATTACATTACCTGTTTTAAATTTATAAATTTTAAACAGTTAATGTAAATTATGTAATACAATTACATTCTAATTTTCAAAATTTAAAAATGTTCAGTTGTTTATATATCAAAACAGTACAAATACTTTTTAAATAACATAAACAATGTTATATATGCAATTTACAGTGTAACTTACAAAATGATAAAACTTACTGACAAAATTCCCGATGATTTAATTGAATTTAAATTGAAAGTATTTACATTAGTACACAATACTATTCAACTATAGAAAATGAGTGTCTTTCAAGGATTTTGTATTTTATGCAATTTTACAAATCATCAGTTAAAAAACAAAAACCCACCCTATTTAATCATAAGAAAAAAAATTAAAAATACATACATATTATTAATAAATAGTTGCAGAATTTACTTTCATGTGAAGACGGATAAATTATCTTTGTATTTATTATCAGGTATTTTAACAAAGTTGAATCATTTAAAAGTAAATAACTTTTTATATATAAATTCAAAACTAGTATCAATTTTTTTAGTTGTAATCATTTCTTTTTCGACCTTATAGGCATATTAAATAATCTGTTTATATGTTGAAAGGTCACTAACAGGTAGTTCGTTTGGTTGCCCAGCATATCTTTCACTTTCATGTCTAGTTATGATATCATGTATTCCTTTTCTTGTTGGTTTCCCAGATCCACATTTTGCATTCATTTTTAATATTTAAATTCAGTCTAAAAAAAAGAAACTAAATAAATGGCTAATATAAATACTTTATCCGTATTAGATTTTATATAATATTTTATATCTTAAAACATTGCAATAAATATCCTTTTCCCAACAAAAAAAAATGGAAACTCATTTAAAAATTGCGAACTTGTTGTTATTTATATAAAATTATGACGCAAAAATAGCATTTTAAGCGATGTTATTCTATTATGGGTAGATTCTATTTCGCAATACTTAAATGAAACCATAAAAATGTAATTTGTTTTGTTTTTCCCAAAAAAATGACAAATTTTGAAATTTTTTAAATTGCAAATAAAGTTTTATTGAATAAATAGAACATTTCCCAAAGTGAGCCAAGTGTTGACTTTAACTTGGTTGTGGCTTATTGTATTATACCGTTATTTCCTTTTTTAAGTTAATTTTTTTTTTTTTTTTTTGTTCTTATTACAATTTTATTTGGTATAATATCGTTTTACATAAAATAAAAAGAACAGGGAAACTCGAAGAGGATAGCAAGATCCTGTCACCGAGAACCGTTTAACAATGCGATACAAAATAAATAAAAACAAAATACCGATATTTACAATACAGGATTGTTAATAAGCCAAAACCAAACATAAAATTCCGTTAAAAAATGTCAAAATATGTAATAAAACTAAATATTTAAAAAAAATATTCAAAAAAACTCGAAGATGTTATCAATTGTCAAAATAACTTTTTTCAGTTTATTTTTGAAAGTAAGAAAACTACAATTTTTAGAAAAGTCCAAGTTTTTTAACACTATTTGGTTCCACATAAAAACTCCGCGATATGATATAAGAGATCTTCCAAAATTTGTTTGCGAATAATGTTGATGAATAAGATTTTCATTTCTTAATTCATATTTGTTTCTTGGCTTTATTGCATATAAATTTTGAAAAAATATTGGGGTTAAGTTTATCTAACATTTGTACATAAAGCAAAGAACATTAAAAACATTTAGTTGATATATATTAAGAATACTCATGTCTATTAAAAGAGGTTTTGCATGAGTATAACGATCTTTAAAATTTATTAGACGTGCTAGATGCTTCTGTTGTCGATAAAGAGGTTCTAATTGACTATTATTAGCACTACCCCACGCA